ATATATAATGCATTCTAGACTCATGGAATCACGTTCTAAACCTTTCGGAGTGACGTAAGAACATTATGGACATCCATACCCTCAATATGAACCTCAGTAGGCTTCAAGGAACGGAAAGAACAACATGGACAACCTTAGTTTCTAGGAGTAGATCCGTTATGAAATAGCATATTCATTTCACTTTAGATCATGCCAAAAGAAAGAAGGAAGTGCCTTAACATACCTTAAACCGGTTGAGTCCTTAATCCCTTCCAAGCAACTCTTCAAACAAGTCAACTCAATCTATCATAGTATAAGGAGATTCAAAATCAGTGCTGAGCAAAGGCCAAGTCTATAACTTAAGCTAGTAGCTCGTCTACGTAAATTCGGGCAGCATCTCCCTTGTAACAAGGGCCTCCTCCAATACCATATACCAACAAAAACAGCCAGGGAAGTCCAGCAACCTATAAATATCAATAACAAGACACCATATAACAACAACAAGTCACAACTACTTCACGACGAGCGGCAAGCTCCGATTGGAATCCGTATAACCCATATACCCCTTATAGACTTCATACATTAACTTTAACAGTATCATTAACATGATAATGAAGTCATTCATCAATGATTCCATCCTTATACCATATATTTATAACAAAGGAAACAATCCACAACTCCAACTATCTTCAATTAGTAACTTTATTCACTAGTTCATGTCTACTCCATCCATTTAACTTAATCAACATGAATATAACCTTAGGCACATGCAAGAACACAATATACCTACCTCCTATTGTAACTTCAAGTCGAAATCCAAGTTATATTCAGCTTACAACAACCCTCAACGGCAATACAACACCATAGAAGTGACTTAAGCTAATCCAAGTATTATCTTGTAGTTTATCATCCTAACAATTTAACCAACATACAAGCAAGCTTAAGCACAATTAGTAGGCTGTTATACTCACCTTATAAAGCAGCAAAAACTTGGAATTTCATCCAAATACAGCCCACAACAATCCTCAATGACAACACAACCTCAAAGAGGTGTTGTTCTTCACTAGAACTAGGTTTTGATGTTGAAATATGGTGTAATCACTTTGGAATCACTTCAAACCCTTGTGGAATATGTTTAGAAGGGTTAGGAGAAGTTTGGAGACGAAGTTGAGTTGAAAATAAGTGAAAAATAGGCGTCCAAATCGTTTATAAAGTGAAGTAGGTCGACCACCGCCTAAGTGGGTCCCATTGGGAGCTGCTTGCGCGGTCTCGCGAAAACGCGAATATCTCTCTACTCCAACGTCGTATTGATGAACGGTTTAATGTATTAGAAACTAGACTCGTAGATATTCAATTTGATATGTAGATAATCCCTTAAACCAATGAATCAAACTTATGAACTTCAAGTTCTTTATTTTCTTCCAACGCGCCAAAACGCCCTAAAACTACTCAGAT